GATTATGGCTTAGGTACAAAGGGAGATGATAAGAAGTACGACAACCCCTACTATGACGAGGACGGCCGCTACTTAGGCGAGCTTGATCCTGAGTATGCCGACCCGAAACATATTGAGAAAAAGGAGATTACCCTTGGCCGACGTGTCTGGACTGGCTTCGTTTGGGCCATGACTTTCTGGATTCCATCGTTCGTTCTTCGCTTCGTGGGCCGAATGAAACGTCCTGATGTGCGAATGGCGTGGAGAGAAAAGCTCGTACTCGTATTTCTTATTCTTCTCTTTAACGGTATTGTCTGCTTCTATATCATCGCCTTCGGTAACTTGCTTTGTCCAAACAAGGACAAAGTCTGGAACGAGAAAGAAGTCGGTTATCATCAAGGGAATAATGACTTTTATGTTAGTATTCACGGCAAGGTCTACGACATCAGCAAGTTCTGGAAAATCCAACACAGTGACACAAACATTGAGACGACGACATCGAACATGGAGCCTTTCATGGGTGAAAATCTGGACGCCTATTTCCCCCCTCCGCTTACTCGACTCTGTGGTGACTTTGTGACGGATGAGTCTATCACACTGAGAAACAACGACACAAACGCGGTGTTGTATCCAAATGCCAAGCACAGTTGTGGCCCTCTCTCGCAGCCGGATCCGAACACAAAACTGAACAAAATCACCTGGTACGAAGATGTCTTTCTACCAAAGATCGACGAGTACTATAAGGGGTCCCTTGTATGGAAGCGGAGTGTTGTGTCAAAACAAGCAGACAGCAGCTCACGGTCCTGGGTCATCAAGGACGAGAAAATTTACGATTTGACGGACTATTTCTATACCCTCAAGCAGATGAACAACATAGACACTTACGACTTCCTGCCAAGCAGTATCACGGAACTTTTCAAAAATTATCCAGGCACTGACGTGACGGACAAATGGCCAAATAGTGAAAATGCCACCAAAGCGCAAACCTGTCTCGATTACGTGTTCTATAAAGGCAAAGTCGATTTCCGTGATAGTGCGAAATGCCAAGTCAATAATTACATCCTGTTGGCATTCACGTGTCTTATTTGTGCTGTCGTTCTTGTCAAGTTCCTCGCTGCTCTCCAGCTAGGATCCAAACGTCGACCTGCCCCGCAGGACAAGTTCGTCATCTGCTTGGTGCCAGCATACACTGAGGGCGAGGACTCATTGCGAAAAGGCCTTGATTCATTGACAGCTCTCCAGTATGACAACAAGAGGAAACTGATTTATGTCATCTGTGACGGTATGATTGTCGGTGGCGGTAACGACCGCCCAACGCCCAAGATCGTTCTGGATATTCTGGGAGTAGATCCCAAGATCGACCCCCCTGCCTTACCGTTCAAGTCAATTGGACAAGGCAGTGATCAACTCAACTACGGCAAGGTCTACTCCGGACTTTATGAGTACGAAGGGAATGTTGTTCCTTACATCGTTGTCGTGAAGGTCGGCAAAGAGTCAGAGCAAAGCAAGTCTAAGCCTGGAAACAGGGGTAAGCGTGACTCTCAGATTCAAATTCTGAACTTCCTCAATCGTGTACACCATCGCGCTCCAATGTCGCCTCTTGAACTGGAGATTTTCCACCAGATCAACAACGTGATTGGCGTTGACCCTGAGCTCTATGAATACTGCCTGATGGTGGATGCGGATACAAGTGTTCGAGAAGATTCACTTAATCGCCTTGTCGCTGCCTGTGCCAATGATGCTCGCATTGCCGGTATCTGTGGTGAGACGAGTTTGCAAAATGAGGAACGAAGCTGGTGGACCATGATTCAGGTTTATGAGTACTACATTTCTCATCATCTCTCAAAAGCATTCGAGTCTCTCTTTGGCAGTGTAACCTGTCTTCCTGGGTGGTAAGTATAAAACATCAGTGCCATATGTATATATCACGAAGATGCTGACTCGTACAGTTTCTGCATGTATCGCTTGCGGACGGCGGACAAAGGCCGGCCCTTGATCATATCAGACAAGGTTATTAAAGAATACGCAGACAATGACGTGGACACGCTGCACAAGAAAAACCTGCTTTCTTTGGGTGAGGATCGTTACTTGACTACATTGATGACGAAGCACTTCCCTACCATGTCTTACAAATTCATCCCGGATGCCTACGCTAGCACTGCCGCCCCCGAGACGTTTTCCGTCCTTCTGTCTCAGCGACGTCGCTGGATCAACTCCACTGTCCATAACCTGGTGGAACTTGCTGCCCTGAAAGACCTCTGCGGCTTCTGCTGCTTCAGTATGCGTTTTGTCGTATTGGTCGATCTTCTTGGAACCATCATCCTCCCAGCCACCTGCGTCTACTTGGGTTACCTAATCTACAGTGTCGCTAGTGGTGGACCAATTCCAATCATATCTATCGCCATCTTGGCTGGTGTGTACGGCCTTCAGGCGATTATCTTTATTGTGAAACGGCAGTGGCAGCATATCGGTTGGATGATCATTTATATCTGTGCCTATCCGATCTATAGTTTCGTTCTGCCGATGTATTCCTTCTGGAAACAGGACGACTTCAGCTGGGGTAACACTCGCGTTGTCCTTGGAGAGAAGGGAAACAAGCGGGTTGTTGCGGTAGAAGACGAACCGTTCGACCCTCGCAGCATTCCTCTCCAGCGCTGGGACGATTACGCTCTTGCCAATAATCTGCCTGGTCGCCGTGGAGATTATAACATGAGCCAGGAGAAATTCTACGGGGGTCAATATGGAGATATGGGCATGGAGATGGATGATATGCATTCGCAGTATTCTTCAGTCAAGCCTGCATCTACCATCTTGACCGGATTTCCAGGAGCAGGCCGGAATGGTAGTCCTTACATGCCGCCGCAGTCGCCCGCCCCGTTCGGCGGAAACACCCCAGGCAACCGGCATTCGCACCTGTCCAGCTTTAGTCGGTATACCGATATGCCGCTTCAGCCAGGGCACCAGTCTCGAAACCTGTCGGTGGGCAATCTCAGCCAGTTCCAGGATCCGTCAAATCGGCATAGCGTGGGCCTAATGCAGAGCACGGACAATCTCCTGGGGGTTCCCCGGCCAAACTCTCGGAGCCCTGTAGGTGGTTATACCTCCCGACCTCAAAGTGCGTTTGACTTCCGCGGAAGTGGTGGGCCTGATGAAATGGCTATTACGGATGCTATCCGTAGCTGTCTGGCCGAAGTGGACTTGGACACTGTAACGAAGAAGCAAGGTGAGCAACTGAACCCAGCCGTGTTATGAGAGACATGCTAACTGAACCTATCACAGTTCGCGCATTGGTCGAGCAGCGGCTTCAAGCGACCTTGACCGGAGACAAGCGAGCATTCCTCGATCGCCAGATTGACCAGGAACTGGCAAATATGTAAATTTGTAGAGCGTTTTCTATTCCTTGTTTGCTCTTGCACCCGGTACCTTAATACATATATTCGTGCGGGAAAAATGTTGATATTTCGGTTTGGCATGCATGGCGTTTGGGATGATCTGAAGCATTCAGCGAATTTAAACGAGTGTAATAGTTGTTTATGAGAGTTGGAATGTACTCTGGATGTTCACCCTGTACATGGAAACATATGTTGTCGGACAGCATCTTATGATGAAATTTGCAACATGCATGTGTTATACATAGTAGATTATGGAAATCTAGAATACTCAACGCCCATTCATATTTTAAGTGTCTTATTTCCTCTCTGATGCGTTTCGCATAGCGTGTATACTACATATTAAATCATATATTCAAGAAAACACGATCACACCCATCCTATCCAATAAGTCAACATCCTCATCCCCAGAATACCACATAAGAACGACGAAACCCCATATACACGGAAGCAGCATGATATTTATACATACAGAAACAAAACGCCCAGCCATCTCACCTCAAATCCCTAAACATAGAAGCTCAGCTCCAGTACTCTCACATTTCTACACACACACACACACACAAAGCAACTCATACAGAAATGAACCCTACTCCTTCTCACCAGAACCAGTCAGATCACCATCAGTCCGGTCAACACCCCGGACTACTAGTCGACCGCCGTACTTCTCACAACACGACACTAGCGACAACGATACAATTGACAGCGAGCATGATGTGATGCAACCATTTCGCAGGATTGCGATCGAGCCAGCGCTCAAGAGTATTCGCAACCAAGTTCATAATAGCCAAACTTAGGGTTAATGGTTAGCGGGGACATGGTAATGGAAGGGAGTTAGTTGGTGGGGTTTATTTTTGGCAGGACGTACAGAGCAGCGTTGTTCGGACGGTGACATAGTCGATTCTTTAATATTTGCCAGGTCATTGTGAGGTTGGTAGGATTTTACTTCCGTCGGAGGGTTGAGAGTAAGTAATATTGAAGGTCAGCCCTGATGCGCCGCGTAGTGGTAGAGCGCCATTGAATCTGGTACGGCCTTTCGGCAAACTACTAGCGTACACTAGGAAGTGGGGACTGCTTCTAGGGTCATCTGGTGGTTTACTAAAGCCAGCGGGTAATTTCTATATTCTACCACCAGGGCAGCTGTCGAAGTAGGCTCTACGCTCTGGTAGGCTAGGCTAGGATATAGTCTACTAAGGAGAAGGCAGGAGGGGAGTTGTGGTTGCATACCTGTACTTCGCAGTAGGTGCTCATAACTGGTGTATGTAAACCCTTACGTATATAGGAATATTGAAAGGTGCCGTTCTGTTTAAGTGGCCACAAATATATCTTGTGGGTCTAGAGGGCGCCGTAGAGAAATATCACAACAAGGGGATCATATGTATTTAGGACCTTACTATTATCAAGGTCATCCACTCGTTTAGGCTTCCAGGGACGACCTGATGCCAGGCTGGGCGTATATTAGATTAAGGATAGAATAGAGTAGTACTGAGGTGAACTAAAAGGATGAAATAAGTATGTGGTCTATTGGGGGCGACAGTCAGAGAGTGGATACAACTCGTCAATATATTCTATGTGATTGGCAGGGTCACTCCTGTTTATTCGATCTCATCTCATAAGTCAGTAACTTCTTGATCATGTCCTCTCTGCGATTCGCATAGTTTCACCTATTATATCGATTCCAAGCTTTTCCCTGGATTTATGTTCCCATGTGCGACTTATTGCTGCTGCCAAAACCATCTTCTCTCTAACTGGGAGTTTGGACTCCTTTAGATAATCGAGGAGCCTTGTTCCCTGAAAGCTTTTGTCCCTCTGGACTAAGATATCTCTCACAATAAGTGCCAAATTATCGAATCTTTTGTTTTCTTCAAAATCCATTCCTGAGCTTTCTGGTACTGTATCATGTGATTCCATTGGGGCTTCCAACTCATGCAGGTTTTCTGAATTTGTGTAGGATGTCTCCCAGTCCCAGAGGAGAGACATATCGCGGATGGGGCTGTGTCGTGAATGCAGAGTCTCGAAAACTTCATCCCAACTCTCACCTTCTTCCTTCTGTAGAGGAGTTGCACTGGTCACTATAAGACTGAGGTAGTCTTTATAAGGCCGGATAATGCTCGGCTTCGACGCTCCCTCCAAAAGGCATACAATGTCACCTTTCTGAATAGGCTTCGCTGAAACATGGAGTGTCCATATAGTTCCCTGTATATTCCTCCCAAACAAAGTACTCCTGTTGTCACCCCTTCTGGTCACCACTAACTGTAACGCAATATTTTCAATGCGCACTTTCTGTCTGTCATTTTGAGATTCGTCGCTTTTCACTTCTAGTCTTTGCCCCAGTATATGTCCCCTGCTTTGAATCAAAGCTAAATCCTGCTGGGGCCAAATCCGCACGGAAGGTTTTCCGGAGAAAATATAGGTAATGACTTGTTGGAGCACTGCACTCCATGGGAGCTTATAATCAGGTAAGAGAGGAGTATCAGAGCTCATGCCGAGTAATGCATACACTTTGTCGTGTTTCTTGGTTGCCGCCCGGGCGTGATACATATCAATCAGTTCGCCAAGAGAGAGTGTTCCACTCGAAGATGTCGTACCAGGTCGGAAGATTGCACCCCTCATAAAGATAGACAATCGAACCAACCAGACTCTGTATATCTGGGCGAGCCTTAAGAGAGAGAGGCTCAGGTTCTTCAAGCCTGAAGAAAAGGTATAACCATGAATCTTGGTGTTGCCACACATAACTAGAATATCTTGTGCAGCATGAACCTCCTGAAGTACCTGTACTAATTATTGAGTAAGTCCAAACAATATCAGCGCAGAACACTTCATACCCAAATACGCCGAAACCAAGGCCGTTCTAGTAACTTCACAATGGAAGCATGATTCATTTCCTGCTGTATGTCTGTAGGCTTGTCCTCGGAAGACTCGTCATCTGCAGCAAGACGAATCATTTCGAATGCTTTATCACTATGATCGGCCGGCTCTCCGAGCCAAACAATAACTTGGCTAGCTTGACCGTATATCATCGGCATGAACTGGATCTGCTGAGCTTTTTCATCCTCATCTCCTTGATTAATGCAGATCGCATCTATCCAGAGCAAGCGTTCAAGCTGGTGCTGTCGAAGATATAGCAATGCTGTATAGAGGTTCTCCGTAACGGGTAAAGTCTGGCCATCGATAAGAATGAATTGAGGTGTGTCCTCACTGCCCCATACATACGACAACGCTTCATACGAATGATCTTCCGTTCCCGAGGTTGGTAGAGTATAGTCGACGAGCTGAAATTGGATTTGAGTGGTGTTGTCCTCGCTTGGCAAGAGGACAAGCATGCGAATCGTTTCTGGTCTCTGCGGTAGTAGAGAATATTTGTATTGGGACATTGTATCAGTTGCTTGAGGGTGTAGTTGGGATATCGTCTAGCTAGTAGACCACCCTATAGTCAGTCCCGTGAAGGTAATGGGACTGAAATGCAGCGAAGCGGGAGGTGTAAGTTAGTGCATAAATTTAAACATATGGACATTTATGATGAATGAGACGCGTCGGTAGTCGGAAATATGACCCGTGATCTTTTGATAGTGCTATTGAGTCTGCTCTATCAGTCATTCAACTGCTTGGGTCTAGCCTTAGGCAACCCCAAGGCAGAAAGCACCCCACTCTACCATCAGTGCACCCTCATGGAATACTGTCGGAGAAGTAAGAGGCGAGCAACCGTATGGTCGCTAACGAACTCGCTGAAGCAAACGCCAAGAATGTCTGGGAGGTGCCGAGAAGTAAGTGTGAGATACATATGTCCAAAATCCGGACACCGCATGGTCTCTAAGCCATGTTGTTCCGTCAGTCGTCCAAGCTCTGACACCAGCTCCTCGGATCCACTAAAGCCAGCATCCGCCATAGGGGACATGCGGGAGGGCCAATGAGTGAGTGTAGCCCCATGAGCGACGAGAGCCCGAAGAATCCCAGTCACATTTGTGGTGTCATTCTCAGAGGTTACTTCCAATCGTCGTATGGCCTTTCGTGAGACCTTGCCAAAGGAGGCCAATGGTGGCATACGAAGGCAGTTCAATACCTGCTCCAGCATGGAGCTAACCCTAATCTCCAAAGTATCAGCGGCAACACACCATTGATGAGCTCAGTACACAAATCCCTATCCGAATCATATCAACGAAAGAAAATTGTCAGAACTTTGCTCGAAGGCGGCGCTAACCCCAACATGCCAAGCCATAACGGCTGGTCCCCATTGAGTCTGCAACGTACGACATTGACCTATTCCGCCTGCTACTTGAGAACGGAGCATCCCTGGAAAAATACATAAGCCGGGTATTGTTCACCACACTAGACAACTTAAACCTCGATATCCTATCCCTCCTTCAGGAGAGCGGCATCGACTGCAACACAACTAATGCACAAAAAGAAGGCAATATATGGTATACTCAGCGCTTCCACGACGACAGGAACCTAACAAACTTCACGCTCCACCCTCTCCACCACCTATCAATGCCAAAATTCAACGAGTCAAACACACGAGTCCGTGCAATCAAGTTAATCCAATACCTATTTACAACAAGGCGCAGACCCCTTCCGCGCCTGTAGCGACGAAACCACAATCCTCCACCACATTTTCGAGCACGGTGGAATCATCCAGCCGTTCCTCGAGATACCAGACCGGGACCTCGAGCGCCGCGATGCCCAGGGCCGAACACTCCTACTTGCTGCATCGCGTTGTGAAATCGTCGGTACAGACTCCTTCGCAGTCACGTATCCCCTCTATGAGCCTGTTCCCAAGTATATCAGAATCGTTGCTTACCCGGAGGGAGACATCACACGAGCCATGACGTTGTACAACCGTGGGGGGGGGGGGGATATCACGGCCGTTGACCATGCAGGAAATAACACTCTCCATCATCTGGTAGCCGTGTATTGTGACAGTGTAGCTGGGCGGAAACAATATCGACAGACGGTAGAAGCCTTCGTCCGAAAAGCGCCCGAGCTACTCCACCAAGCGAATAAAGAAGGAAAAACGCCAGTTGATATCGCCCGGCGTGCTGAGCAGAAATGGGCTCTGGAAGCGATTCACAATGCAGGTGCGGAGATTGAAGACGCTTAAGCGGTTAATTCTGGACATATAAATATCTTGAATCATGTATATGTTCAAGCACCGATAGATAGAACCCTACAGATAATGAACCCTAATATGACTACAAACAAGTTAGTCCTCCCAATAGACTCAGTCCCACAGACCAAGAGCCCAAGACCAGTAATAGAGTATACTAAGTATGCACCTCATCTGCACGACAACCTCTTAGCGTAATTCCCAAGTGGGGTCACCAAAACCAACTCCCATTTATACATAAAACGCATGTTAAACCCCATTTACCCACTCCCAAGAAACACCATACTAAACCTATCTATACTACCAATCCATCCACACCAACGTAAACATTATAACATACATAAAACAACAACCCTCAGCCCAAATCCAAAATGTCCACCTCACCACCACCACCAACAACCACAACCACAACATCCCAAACAACCCCAACAGAACAAACCACAACCACAACCACCCCAGAAGCAACCGACCAACGCACCGCCGAAGCCAAAACCGCCTTCACAGCCTCTCTCCGCTCCGTCGGCGCAAATTACGAAACCGCGCTCCGCGATCGAGCCCGCACTCTCCACGAGAACTCTACCGTGCTCGACAAGCAAGAGGCCGATGTGCGGCGGGCGACGGAGCAGCTCGCTAAGCAGAATGATCAGCTGGCCAAGGTGGCGGACCAGGCGAGGGATGGGTTGAAGGAGATCGGGGACGTGCAGAATTGGGCGGAGTTGATTGAGAGGGATTTGTTGATTGTGGAGGAGACGGTGAGGTTGGCGGAGGAGGAGGAGGGGGAGGAGGAGGGGGATTATCGCACTCTTGGGAATGGGGAAGATCGAGGGTTGGAGGGAAATGGGAGGATTAATGGGTTTGGGGAGGAGGTTGAAAATGGGGATAAGGATGGGAAGAAGGGGAAAGGGTGGTTTCAGTGGTGGTGAATTTAGTTCTTTTATCTTTCTTTATTAAGTCATGGGTTAGGGTTGATGATGTGATGTTTTCTGCGATTAAATCTAGGGCAGTAGCACCCATTGAGTATTCCAAGTTAATTTCATTGATCTAATACATCGCTGTATAAATAAGACCCGTAACCAAAAAAAGGATAGTGATGTTAATCTGCTTCATCTTCACCCTCACTCTCCTCCTCTCCCTCGCCGGTCATTTCCTTGAAGTAATCCTTCCAGATATCCAACGTATCCGTCCATGACCGGCGATCCTCTAACTCACTCTCTTCATCGCCGTCGAACTCATCGTACTCGTTCCATTGTCCCAGGCTCATCAGATGTCGCATGGTCGGTCGACCATGAGGGCAGTTCCATGGTTTGTCAATCGTGCCCATGTTTCGCACTACTCGGGTCATTTGCTTTTGGGACAGGTTCTTCCCAATCATAATGCTGGACCGACACGCCCGCATAGCGAACATTTTTCGCACCTTACTCGGTCGCGGAACATACATGGGCCCCGCTGCGCTGCAGGCCGGCGTCTCAGAAAGAAGGACAATGAGCTCCTCCAGATCTCGCACGCCGAAGACGACTTCCTTGCTGAGTGGTAGCGAGACCAGCTTGCACCTGCGGCCAATCGGCTCGTTGCCGCTGTCATCAACTTCCACGACAAAGCCATTCTTCTCCAGCGCAGATTGATTCTCTATCACGATTTCCTCTTCAACCGCCGTCAGATCCAGCTGCTTCGGTTGCACAAGTCGTTGATTCTGCACCACAGTTTCCGCCTGGAGTCGCTCGAAGTTGAACTTCTCGTCAGAAGCGTGCTGGTCAATGATAAAAAGCTCATCCTTCGCACTGGATGGTGCTGAGTCAGAGACACCTGTTGAGGACCGGGTGGCTAGGATGAATCCCAAGTTGAACTGCCCAGCAATCCGCATCTTGCCAAAGTCATCCTTGGAAACAGTTAGCGACAACCGCTCCTCAGCAGTTTCTAGCGAACTTTCAGCCTCATTGTCCTGAGAATCTGCAACATTCGAGTCGTGCAAGCGAAGCCTTTCCTGAAGCTTGTCCATCTGAAGCTGAATCCTAGAAAGTGAACCATCGATAGTGCTCACTAGGTTGACTGTGGAATCGCGATGAGCAGCGCCCTTATTCAGCTTGTTCGCACGGTTGATATTGCTTTCCTGTGGCAAGGCAGCTTTTTCTTCTGCCTGTCGGATCAGTCGCTGAACTTCAGCTTCTTCGTGTTTCTTCTTCTCTTCGTCACTCAAGGTCTTTTCCGCAGGTGCAGCAGCATCTTGCTGAGACATTGCGGGTTCATCCTTGACTTCAGCCTCAGGTAGAGCTTCATCTTGCGATTGAATACTATCTTGGTCGGAAGGAACATGAGATCGAGGACCACCCTCAGGCTCTTCATCTTCGATCTCCTCTTCAACCTCCTCTTCCTCTTCTTCCTCTTCATATCCCTCCTCTTCCTCGGCCTCACTGCTCGCGGTGTGTTCTACCTGAACCCCAGGCGCTGCAAAGCCCCTCATGTGCTTCCCAAATATACTAGGACGAGATGGGGTATGTATACGTCTTTTCCGAGATGTGGAGCTAGTAGTGTCGACATGGTCAATATCACGCTTTCGATAGGGACCACTTCCTACTATGGACGTCACTGTCTTGTTTCCGATAGTGATCGTCGCCACCTCAGCCGGCGCTCGTCTTGGCCTCATTCGGTCGAACGCATTCTGTATAGTATTGGGTATTTCCGCAGACGGCTCTCGTCTCTGCGTTATTGTCTGCTGCGAGTCTGGTGGTGTATTACTTAGTGGAGCATCGTTATCATCTGCAATCTGTGAATCTTCACCAGCGGGGCGTTCTGGTCGCATGCTCTCGCCTGCACCCAGTGATGGTTCTTCCTGTTGGATGTCATCATCTGTAACGAAGAGCTGATTGTCTGTCTCGAATGAGTTGCGTTTCGATTGGGTAGGCGTATTTGGAGGCAACAATGTCATATCACGCGCAGGTTCTTTGTCCGCACGAAGGGGAGACGAGGATATGCTCGCTCTACCCCCAGGTGACGATCCGATATCGCTTAAGAAGCTCCTCATTCTATGTTGGGAGTTGAGCTTGCTTCTGCCATTGGCCTGGCTTTCGTCCATTTCTGATCCCTCATCATCCGCAGTCTCTGCGCCCCCAGACGAAGATTTACGGATTAGAATGTCTTGCAATTTTCCGGACTGTAGTTTAGTAGTTGACTGCTTAGCGTTGTTGACTTGGGATTGGGGAACTGTCTGATCCGAGGATTCAAACAACTGCGTAAGAGATGTTTTCAGAGACTCGATCATAATTCCCGCATCGTGCAGTAAAATCGTGCGCTTATCGGGTGAAACGTTGACATCGTATGCGTTAGTATCCATATGAAAGTCCGCAAACACAAATGGTGACTGTGACACGTTGAAAGATTTATAAACCTCATTGAACGCTTTGGCTATTTGCGGTAATCCACAAGGACGAGAGTTGACAAAGAACATTTGACGGTCAGGTGTTTGCCTGCCTTCCCCGAAAACAGGTCTCGAGACATGTCCCCGGACGGAGATCTTATTCACCTCCCGCCCTTCATCCACAGCGGCTCGCTTTCCAGCCGTAGATGGCTCGAATTCCAAGGTTAGATCGAGCGGAATCAAAGCCATTAGGGTCTTCGCGCCGTAAACATTAGCGATGTTCTCTTTCGTTGTCTGGTTACCGTTCGTAGAGAAGACCACGACGTTGCGGGTCTTTGCGACCGTGTTCTTGACGCTGAAACGGACGCCTGTGCTGACGCATGCGTACGCATGAAGAAGGTTTAAAACCTTTCCATATTCACGCTTGATATTCTTCTCTAGCTCACGGCGCCGCACAGGTAGTTTCTTGAACAGTCCCTCCACCGATACCGTTGTGCCCTTCTGGCCCGCGACAATTTGTGTCTTCTTCAGCTTCCCGGAAGGTTCGAAATCGAGACGGTTGGCTTTGGGAGCTTGGTTGGCTTGGGCAGTGATAACATGGAACTCGGACAGGGCGCATAGGGACGATAGTGCTTCGCCGCGGAAACCGAAAGTCTGTAGCCGCGATAGATCCTCGTAGGAAGAAAGCTTCGATGTATAATGTTTGAGTGCTGGTAAACTGTAGAGTTAGATACTCCCCATCCTAGAACACAAAGATGGGAGAAAAGCTTACCGACATTCTCGTAGTTCTCAGGGGATATTCCACTGCCGTTGTCTTGCACCTCAATCAAGTCTAGTCCATTATTCTTGAATCGGACCTCTGTCGGGAAATATAGAATGATCAGTTTGCTGTCCTACAGAAACCATAAACAGGCGCATATAGTTTTATATAAAGCAATAAGGGTCCTGTTTACCGATCGATGTGGCACCGGCGTCAAGACTGTTTTCGACCAACTCCTTAGCAACAGAGCAGAGATCGACAATGACTTGACCGGATTGGATTTGGTGGACCTGGAAAGGCGCAATACGACGAAGTTAGGAGCTGCTCATTCATAAATTTATGGGTACGTACCGAACGGGCCTCGATGGCCTTGATAGTCGCCATATTCATCCCATGGTGAAGATAGTTGATGCGAACGCGACTTACGCGGTCGGTCGGCCACTTTACGCGATACCGCGATCACTAAGCACCGGACAAGATAAGATAACCTACCCCATTGATCTCCATCTACGATATTTGTATAACATGCTGTTTACAGCCCTTCTACAGTATATTTGATACACTCAGTAGTAGAGAAACGGCTGTACATCGAGTAGACGTGAATTGCAGACTATACATTGCATTCTTCCGTGGTTCGCCAAATGTGCAGTTCCCATATATAATAGTAAATAATACAGTCTCATTCATCATAGCTACAACCTCATGCAGTAAACTATATAATAATTCAGGAAGAAAGATGCACCGTGGATATTGGAATAACTCTCTTTGCTAGTGAACGCCCAAACTCCGCTGTATAGTCAACACAATTCAAAGTGACGGTGTCCAACAATTTCAGTACACGCCGAATCGATCAGGCATAACCACCGGGGCAACCAGCGTCCACAGGTAAATCGCGTAGCAAACCCAGGCGCTGATGATCTTCACCCAGCTGGCCCAGTAAGTCCGCCCCACAGCAGCAAAGTCATCTGTATTCTCGGCTTCGGTTTCCAAGCGCTGAGTGAGAAGTGTGGCCACCCAGGTCGTAGCCAAGAAGAAGATCACGTGAAACAAGGAGTAGTTATACTGCGTCGACCCTCGTTCATCGTCCTTAGTGTTATAGTCATCGGATTCATCGTCGCTGTCATCGTCGAGTGCACTAGCAGGTAAACTGCCACTAGCCACGGCGGCACGAAGAACTTCGGCACGCATCTCGCGACGACTGGTCGGCTGTTGGGTCACAAGACCATGTTCGTTGTCATCCGTCCCCAGCGGCGAATAATTATGGCCGCCCTTGGATCCCAACGCAAGGCCCTGAGTGGCTGCACGCGTTGTCGTGTACGCGATGGTAGCCATGGTAAGAATGGCTCCCAAAACAATACTGGCCGTTCTCGTCCCGCGAGCGCGCACTAGAGGATTGCACTGGCGGTCATCTGGTTCCATTGAAACAGCCGACATAGTCAGATATGTGCAATAGACAGTCACCATAGCTGCTTGAGCCAAACCCGCTCGCGGATTGGATTCTTGCACTATAGGCTGAATGGACACGAAGGAAATGATCAAGAAAACAACGAGGTTAACCTGATTCGTCAGCCGAGCCCCAGTAGGACAAATGTAGCTAGTGATTAATGACTTACCGTAATCGCAGCTTGGTTCATGGCGCATCCACTGCCAGCGAAGAAAACATACATAAGGACGGTCATCACGATCGATGCGATGTACATGCCAATAGTTGAACCAATGAGCAGCCCGCGCCAAATTCGGGAGTCGCTATCCTCAATCTTCTGCAGACAGATCTCAGCCCAGGAGTGCGCCAGATCTACCAGAAGGATAAGACCCAGCAATAGGAAGAGCATAGCGCAAATAAACGCGATGTAACGACCATAGATGAAAAAGAACGACTGCGGAATGAAGAATGACACGACCACGAAGGCGATCCAGAGGATGATCTTTGGACCCCAGAAGCCATTCTGAAGGGCCGCACGGCCGTCTTTAGATGACCTCACCCCCAACAGGAACAGCGCAAGCACCAGGTGAAAGAGACCGAGACCGAAGTTAATACGGTGGACCGCCACCCAACCATGGCATTCTTTGCCGTCGCAAGTGATTTCCATATAGTCCAAAGTCAGATTTTGTAGTTTCTTAAGCGCCCATGGTGTGAGCATTATCCACGAAACGATTGAATTGATCAGAAGGATGAAGGCATAGGCGATTCTCGTAGCCATACTGGAAATCCGAGGGCCCCGGATGTCAGTGGCTGATCATATACTCAGCAAGACCAAAGAGTACTTACCTATTTTGAAATTTCCCGCACGCACTACATACTGCCGAGCAAGTTGCAGCTCCACAACATGAAGTTGCAAGCGTTATAAGCTGGGTTGATATCAGTTAAGGTCCGATCAGGTAGCAATGGAAATGCACGTACGGTACCGGCACTCGGCACCGCCAAAAGTGGCAGAGAAAGTAGAGCGCCCATGTTGTTAAAGCTCCCCTCCCGGGACAGGGACTGTGATCTTCAACAAATGATACTTAGTGGTAAGGTTTAATGTTATATACTAGTCCTGGAGGGTGAGTTTGCATAGACCGCTAGAATGATGCGATGGAGATGCAAGCGACCGGAAGAGTCGCCGCCGCCGCCGCCTTCGTCATGTGCCGATAGGGGTTACATAAGCGAGGATAACTAAGTTAGTTAACTATGGGGTGGTTATCAGGGGCCGATAACGCTGTACTTTTAAGTACTGCTGTAGTACCTGGCCAGTATTGTACCTAGACGTATACTGGGGGTACCTCCGAATACATTTGGGGTCAAGGACGATTTAGTTCGGCAACGATTACGAGTCCTACGGCCACTTTGCATTCTGTCGTCGCGTGCTTTTCTCCCTGTTTTATTTGCCTTCCCCTCTTTTTTTTTTTTTTGTTCCTAATTTTTATTTTATTTTTAATAATCTTATTCTTCTCTACACTCGTTGGATTGTAAACTTTTCTCCCACGCCTCGTATTTAATTTCAGTACCACCCCTTGCATTCGTTTCCTTTTCTTATACCATCCTGACGTCTGTGACGCTGATAAACTTTATCTTGCTCATTCGCCGAAAGTCATCGGCATTTATCTGCCCCCCCGAGGGCCCCAATTTCAATTCAATTGCTTCCCCACGCAGTGTATGCGCTGGGAGGAATACTATAGCCCTTCGCTTTACGATTTGGTGCAACGGCGCCGTCACAATTCACCATGACCGAGTCAACTCATAAAACCAGGCGCATTATATCCGTGGTTGCGAGCACACTAGTAGCCCTGGCCTGTGGGACCAATGTATGACTGCCTTTGATGCTTATCCCTGCCTCCAAGTCCCCCTCTTGAACTACATTCGTGGACTAGATCATCTGCTGAAGAGATGTACTAATTGACCGCAGTATGCGTACTCAGCATGGGCGCCGCAATTTGCGGAACGAATGAAGATCTCGTCAACCGAGAGCAACTTCATTGTAAGCTGTCTCGTTTCCCTCGGAAAGGCCGATGTATATCGTACTGATTTCTCATAGGGCGTGGCTGGAAATCTGGGCATGTACGCATCGGGTGTTCCATTGGGGCTGTTAACTGATGCTCGAGGTCCACGACTCACAACTTTTATTGGTGCTGTGGCCCTCGGTATAGGCTACTATCCTATATATATAGGTTTGTCTGTCTGGTTGGCACCGGCGCTTAATGATGTTTATACTGATTATCTTCTGCCACTATAGCCTATGAGCACGGAAAGGGTTCGCTCAGTGTTGGCGTGTTGTCCTTTTTCTCATTCCTTACTGGCCTCGGAAGTTGCTCCGCCTTCTCGGCTTCAATTAAGACAGGTGTGTTGATCTCTGCCTTACGAACGTCCGGAACTAAGATCCGTCAACCTTAGCCGCAACGAATTTCCCCGATCATCGGGGAACAGCGACCGCATTCCCCCTGGCAGCCTTTGGACTGAGCGCTTTTTTCTGGTCTAACGTCTCATCTTTCATCTTCAAGGATGATACTGGCCGGTTCCTTCTTTTGCTGGCACTGGGGACTTTTTTCTTCAACCTCGTCTCCATTCCCCTCCTTCGGCTCATGCCCCCAGCTAAAGCGTACACGGCGTTATCACGGGAGCGATCGCCAGGAGTAGAGTCCACCCGACTGCATAGGACGAAGTCCTCTGATTTGCGCTATGTGCCAGAAGAGTCTGATGAAGCAGGTATGCAGAGTTCTTCAGCTTTTGAACCCCACTCCCCGATGCATGTAAGGTCGCAATCTGGCGCGTCGATCAACTCCCACCATACTAGCCACAATCCCGACTTGGATGAAACGTCATCGTTGGTATCCAAAAGCACCCCAAGGCAATCTCGGGAGGTCTACCATGAGGAGGATGATGCGCTCTCTGATGTTGGCGTCGGCTCACCTCACCCAGACATTAGAGGCTTGGCGATGTTGCCCAAAGTAGAGTTTTGGCAGCTGTTCTTGACGATGGCTCTGCTTTCTGGAATCGGTTTGATGACGATCAAGTATGTTTTCACTCTACCTCAATTCTACCTCAATTCACTAAGATACTAACAATGATGGTAGCAACATTGGCAACAGCGTAAGATACCCATGTTACAGGCATGTTTATCCATATACTTACCCCCGTAGGCCAAAGCATTGTGGAAATACTACGACGATAGTGCTAGCTCCAGATTCATCCAACAGAGACAGGTCATGCATGTCTCCGTCCTGTCATTTGGCAATTTCATCGGCCGACTCTGCAGTGGTACGTGCTACCATGCATATGATCCATACATTTCCTAACTACATATATCACTCTAGGAATTGGATCAGACCTACTAGTCAAGAAACTTGACATGTCAAGGTTTTGGTGCCTATTCATCTCCGCGGTTGTATTCACCGTGACCCAACTAGCAGGAGCCGCGATTGCCAACCCACACCAGTTGATCGTCGTATCAGGATTCACGGGGGTCGCATACGGATTCCTTTTCGGTGTCTTCCCATCCCTGGTAGCTCACACATTCGGTATTGAAGGCCTCTCCCAAAACTGGGGCGTGATGACCCTCGCCCCCGTTCTGAGCGGAAACGTCTTCAACCTGCTGTACGGCAGTATTTACGACCGACACTCTGTTGTCGGTCCTGATGGAGACCGGGACTGTCTCGACGGCTTGGGCTGTTACCGAACGGCATACTATACCACATTCTTCTCAGGAGTGGCTGGTATCATAGTATGCTTGTGGAGTATCCTGCGCGAGAGGCGGGTCCACGGCGCGATTCGCAAGAAGGTCGAACACGACCGTCTTGCGTGAAGGGGGGATATGTATGTGGCGCCTGTTCATTAATGGGGGCGTCTCCATCTTTTCAAAATTGCCTGGCTGAGAAGCCGTTTTTGCATATTCTTTTATTAGCTATATACCCAAGCCTGAGCGGTATCTACGACTATCTTGATAACTCATCTCATATGTCACTACTGAGTTATGTATAGACGGATGATAATTTTGGGAGGCCTATCTTTCGTCCTTGGAAGTATTCATTCTGCATTTTTCCTTGATCATTCCACGCTCCTTCACCAATCAGGGGACAATGCCTTGTATAGAGCCAAAACATCCAAGTTCATACATGTTCGCTTGTACTATCCACACATGACGCCGGTTTCAGCAAACATTACTAAGTACGCCGTAGGTAAGTAAGTAAATTGAACAAATGGATATCCGAGCGACACCCGCAATAGCCGAGGTAAGATAACCGAAACCGGCGTGAAAACCATTGGCAGAAGATAATAGATAAAAACTGGGAAGATAAGATAAGACAGGCAAAACGATAAATGGCCGGATCGGGGCATTCACACATCATACACTATATAATATAGAGTCACATCAAGAAAAAAGACTAGCTAAAAATAACACGGTAGAATGGAATGGAACGCATTTTAGAACAACAAGAATATCGAAGTTTTTCAACACAAGTCATTTCCCTGCTGGGTTGCCAGATCCTGACCTGAATTCAATCAATTACCACGTAACCACTGCAGTCCTGCTTGCAATCCTATCGTCATCCTGCCAGCCTGGTCTTCGACGATCCGGGGAAGCCAAAGCTAGGCGGTAAAAAAAGAAAAACAAAACAATTGGGAATAATAAACACAAAACAACTGAACAAAGGCTGCCCCCCTTTGCTTTGAAATCTCCTTTTCTTCATATGAACGTTTTCGCGATTCCGCGGTTTGCTGTCCCACAATGATCTCCTCCGTCCCGTACCGGAATTCAAAGTGCTCGGCAATCCAAGAGCAATAAAGATGTGAAATAAAGAAACAAATGAATAAAGAATTGAAGTATTGGAAGGGAGAGTTATTAGTTTTAATCCGATATACATCCAGCCAAATGACAAGACACGTAAAGGGTATCAAAAAGACCAAGGTAGATCAGAGAACTCAGCAAAGCGGTTGCATTTCGTTTTTGCACGAATCGAGGGGGCCGGTGAGATTCACGAACCGTCGTTCGATCCCTGTGATCCCTGTGGTTAGAAGCTCTTTGGCGATTTGGTAGGAGAAGTGGAGGGTTGATCTACCACATCAGACAGCCTCATCCGTTTCGCCATTGGCTCACCAGAACTTTCATCTTCGTCAGGATTGCCATTACTGGCTTCACCAACGTGACGTTCCAGTTCAGACACTCGACGCTTAAGGTCTTCTTCACGCCGTTGCGCTTCCTCGAGGGCTCGTTTAAGGCGCGATTCCGAGTCGCGGGCGATCATCTCGGACCGGCGCGCGGCAGCATCGCTCTGTTCGAGTTCCGTTACCCGGCCCCTAAAAAGGTCATTGACAAACTCCAATTCTCGCACGCGGGTCTTCAACGATGTGTTCGCTGCCAAGAGCCCCTCAATTGTCTGAGGAGACTCGTTGTGGCGGTCCACGGCCGCAGACGTCGAGGTGGGAGACTGCTGGCGAAGTTGCCCAGACGACAGCCCATTGTTCAGACCGTGATCTCCCAGGGTAACGCTGTCGAACATATGCTGCGGCGCGATGTTGGAGTTATGCTGCGGCGGGAGCTGCTGCTGTTGCATCGGAGGAAGACCAGGCGTTTCTGTTCGGGAGACTGGTGAGTTGGAACGATCCGAATGGCCGGGTGACATCTTCCGCGACGCGCGACGATATCCATGAGATCCAAGTGGGGGAGTACCGGCCTCTGATCTGGACGTGGAAAGTCCATTTGCATCAACGGCACTGCTGGACTAATTGAGGCGATTACATATCAGCATCTTGTACCATTTTGGGATTTCGAGCTACGGCGGAGCAACAATAATGAATAGAAAAATTTTCGAGGATTCCTGCTCACCTTACGCTTAGGGCCCTGACCCGCGGTCTTGACCCTATTGCGACTTTTGATCACATCGGTTTTCAAGCTTATCGGACGGGGTCTTCCGTGGAGCTTCAGGAATAAGCCACAGGCGTTGCAGAGGACCGAACCGAGTTCATCCCGGCGCCACAAGGGCGTGGTGGAAGTACCACAATTCTGGCACACGGGCTGTAATTGAGGGCGCTTCTGATCAGCCAAGGTCGTCGCCATTGTAGAAAAAGATGAGGGGATCGAAAAGGAGGGTGGAAGCAAATGGGGTAGATGAGGTATGGGGCTGATAGTGGAATAGAGGGAAAAGAGCGACGGTTGATAAGATCGGGAGAGATTTGACGGGCTGGCGCGATAAGACTTGACACGCAGCGGCTGGTGCGGTGCCAAGACTCCATCGGCTGCTGATAACAGATTGGGAAGGACTTTCCAAATGCCCCCGGGAAAAAAAAAAA